GGGTCCCTGGGGACCTGACGGCGGCAGAGCCACTGCTGCTGGGTTTCTGCTGCAGGGTGGGAGCCTGTCCCATCGTGTGACCTGCTCCAAAACGAGCAGCCCCGAAGCCCTTGGTCCATAGTGAGAGCGAGAGCCAAACACTCACCTGTCAGAGAGATCAGCCGCTCGTTTGGCAGAAGCAGCAATTTGGAGACTTCCAGGCAGATCTATGGAATAAAGAATAAAAAGAGGTGGCAGAGGACAGGGGGTGTCTGCAGGCACTGGGTGTCCCCATCAACAGCCACATGGCAGCCAGGGGACAGGGGACAGCAGCGTTCGGTGACTACGGGGCTTCTGCCCCATATGCTGGGCTGGGGGGAGACCTGGCAAAGCCCCAGCTTGACTGACAGTGCTGGAATTCTTACAGAACTGCACAATTTTGTCTTTTCCCATCTCACACCTTTCCAGGCTTTATCTTACCTTATCAACGTTAATCTCCTTGTCCGTGTCTGAACTAGAGGACTTGCTGGATGAAAACAACAGAACATAAGATGTTAGGTGAGAGCCAGCTCAGCCAAGGATGGGTGAACATCTTTTATCTGACCCAAAGGCTCCAGAGACAGTAGCACCATTATTTTCTATCGTCTGTTACGGTACAGTTACAATTCAGAGTCCTGAAACACTGGTTGCTGTTCCTGCTACACTGCTTGAACAGATCCGCTCCCTTATCAGAGAGTGAAACTCTTAAAAAGGAGGAGACCAGCCCCGCAGGCAGGACACGGTTCCTCCTGTGAAAATAAAAGGTTTTGTGACAGCCTTGGTAAGCTTTAGGGCAGTGAGCAGATCTTGGTCACATCACCTTCCTGCCTAGAAATGCTCGTGCCTCAGTTTCTTCTTTTCCCCCGTTACCCAGATCCCATAACAAGGAAAACAGTGTGGTCGACCTTTCCATCTCCTCGGTGCTCTGCACCTCCTCCACGGTGGGTTTGCAGGCAGAGGTCACCAGCTCCAGGTTCCCCTCGGAGTTCATTTCCACGTGGAGGTCCGCCAGGATGGACAGTCTCATCACCTTGGTGGTTGAGCTGTGCCAGAGGAGCAGAGGTGGAGGCTGGAGCGCAGGGGCTGCTCCAGGTCCTGCTCCTCCCAGCCCCTTCTGCTCCCACCAGCAGATGCAGGTGCTGGATGTGGCCCCATCGCTCCAGCCGGGAGCTTGGGCTGCATCCAGCTCCACGGTGCTGGCACTCACGGGGCGGGTGTGATGCCCAGGTCCACATCGATGCTCAGCCTCAGCCCAGCGTCGGGGACAAGTGACAGCGACAGCTCGGAGACTTTGACGGAGTTAACCTGGTTCCTGCTGGAGCAGAAGTGAAGGTGTCAGGAGACCAGCGCGGAGTGATGTGCCATCCCTGGCTGCTCTCACAATGGGCAAACCCAAAAGGTCCATGAGATCTTCATGGATAAATCAGTGGCCCAAGTTGGGCACGGGGGCTGCAGCCCTTGGACCCCAAAGAGGAGCCAGGAGCTTGTTTCTAACAGTTGTGTTGATCTCCAGGAAGATTTTCATTGGTAAAACACCTCTTGTGACAATATTCAAAGTGTTCCAGCCAAATGCCAGCGTGAGCCAGCATCATGGCAGCAAACCTGGGCAAGGCAGGGCCACGGACTCACCTGCTGGGCTTCGGGGAGCCGAGGAACAGGTCTGGGACCGTCGGGGCCATGAGGTCCTGCCTGAGAACTGTCTCCGCGTGGGGCTTTGAAACTTCAGCAACTGTGAGACAGGGCAGATATGTGATGAGACCCTCGTGGTCTGGTGTGCAGAGATGGACAGACTGAAATCCATCCAGGTGACACACTCCCATCCCGTGCTAACCCCCGGTACCAGCTATGGGAAGGGGATGGTGAAAGGAGCTGGTTGATGGCCTGAGTTTCTGGTGACAGTGTTTGGAATTTTGTCACCAGCCTGAAGGAAGCTGCTGCCCGCCCTCCCCACTGACGGTGTGGCAGGAACGGGCTCCAGACTTACGGTAGCTCAGTCCTGAGGGGGTGAGGATGCCCCCGCAGTCGGGTGACCTGGCGGCATGAGTGGGGACCAGGAGGCTCAGGAGGATGCTCAGGGCGCGGAGCTTTGCCGTGACGGCGCCTGGAAGAGGAGAGAACTGGCAGCAGCTCGGTCAGAGCGATGTGCCGAGGTTCGGAGCCGCACTCGGGAGCCACAGAGCCGCTCAGGGGTCGGGTCTGGGGCTCTGAGCTTGTTGGATTTTGTGCAGTGACAACGCGCAGAGCCCACAGCTTTAACAGCACTGAAAGAAAACTCAGCCTTGAAATCCTCCCGCGATGCCACTGGCTGAGGAGCTTGTTATGGCCCACAGCTGGGATAAAACTGGCAAGTAACCAGGAGCTAAAATGAGCTGAGGAACAAATGGAAGCGATGGAGGAGGCTTTAATCAAATAAAAAGGTGAGAGTGTTACCTGCTGCTCTGAAAAACATCGAGGAATTGTTTATAACGTTTGTAATGCTCTTACAATGGTAAGAAAACAAGTAATTCAGAAGGTTTAACCTGCAGAAAAGATACGTGTTTATATCCATCTTTGCAGAAAGGGGACTTCTGATGAGAGCTGACCCCTACAGAGACACGCCAACGTAAGTACAAGCGATGCCTATATCAGGCTATTCAGTTTGCAAACGCATCTTTACCTTTCCTGGTCAGTCTTCCCATTCTTCTCCCTCAGTCCGTGTCTCGCCGTGGTCACACCAGGGGTTTGCACTGGCTTTATATATCTTCACAACCGAGGCTGACGGGGCAGAAATTGGCAAACAGGGCTGGAAACCAGGACGTTGGCTGGACGCTTTGTTTTATATTCCATTTTTATTGTTTCCACATATACTCGATGACATTGGCCGGTGACCTAGCAAGGTGAGGCATTGAACAGCGGGTGCTGGGGCAGTTTGTTTTCATTGTGGTGTTACTGAGGAGCACAAAGGAAGGTCTCTGGGTGGAGGGTGCCAAGAAATCAAACATTGTTAGAAAGCAAGCGTCGGTTTCTTTGCTCTGCAGCCATGCTTTCCTCTGAACACCACAGGGACAGCCACTGCCGTGTCTACACCAGCAAGAAGCTGTCGTGGTTTGTGTCGGTCTCCTGGCTGGGCAGCTCAGACCAGAAGGGATGAGATTTGTATGTGTCACACTGAAGGAGGTTTTGGCAATTCTTCGGGGATACCCTCCATTTCCATCAGGCAACAGGAGTGTTTCTGTTGGGTTCAGAGAGTTTTAGACCAGACAGAAGATCAATTTTTTTTAAGGTATCTCTTCTAACCTCTGGGATGGCCCACACGCAATAGTTCCTTCCTCTCTTTAACCCATTCCCAATCAAAAGCCACTGGTAGTTTTTCTTACAACTGGTACAAAAACGATGGGTGATGTCCACCCTCTCTGATAACGTCTCTACAAGCAGTGGAAGTGCTCACAGAAGGGAGTCGCAGCCCCTCTCCTTCCTGTGCTTGGGGTCCATCATGTTCTCCTGGCTTCCTTTTGGCCTGGAGGGCAGAGCATGGACCACCTGCAAATGCCAGGCAAGTTTATCCTCCACAGTCTCAGCCAGTTCTCCTTCATGCTCCACGTTCTGACTCCCTTCCCCCCGATGTTTGTGATTTCAAGGTTGGGGCATGACCAGTCTTCCAGAGAGGGTTGAATTGCCCATTTTGGTCTGAATCCCTTGGCAGTGGGATAAGGTGTTCAGTGCTTGTTGAAACACCTGCAGCCTGGGGAAGCAACCATTGTCCTTTGTGTAGCTGGTGAAGTGAGTTATTGGGTGCTGGTTCCAGGTTCATCTTGACATGCTCAAAGCTATTGGCTCTCACCAGCACTGTGTTACTTTCCTTCTCAGCATGACAGAGAAATGCCAAAAAAAAGCAGAGTTTCAGCCATGTTGTGTGTTCCCATTGAGGGCATCCAAATCACAGTGTCAAGAGAAAATATGAAGATCTGTGTCTAGCAGCCTGCAGAGGGAGAGCAGGATTTACACACCTACGCTGCTGCGTGCAGCCCTTTTAGAGGCAAGAAATGTGTTCAGAAAAGTAAATCCAGTGAGGAGGTTGTAACCTGCAGATGAGTCCCCTGGGGCCGAGGGAAGCGCTTCATGGCATCTGACATTGGTCGGGACACAGACACAACCTAGAAAAGTCTCTGAGAAATAAATCTTTGCTGTGTTTTAGAGCAGCGGTTGGAAATTGGCCTCTGCTAGACCTTGTTCCAGCGCAGGTAATAGCAGCAGCTCTTCCCGAAGCAGCACTGGAGATTTATCTGTGGAGCCTTATTACGGTTCACAGCAGCGCCAGGGTCTGAGGATAAGCTGCCGAGACGAGGCGGCACCGTGGTGCTTAGAGGTGGATTTTCTCCTCCCTAAGAGCTATTCTGGACCTGATGATCCCTGTGGAGGCTTAATTAGATGTCAGCTTATAGCATAATGACTGATCAAGTTCCTAGCACAAAAGCATCTCTCTGGCACAGTGCATTCCTTATCGGGAGTTATCTATAAATCTTGTTCTCCCGTTAGACAAGATGTAAATCTCCTGTCTGGGCTCAGCAGAGCCACCGAGCACATCAGTGGGAGGGAGGGGATGGCAGATTAAACCTCATGACATGTTTTATACAGAAATGAAGAAATATATTACTTGGCACTGCAGGATCCCAACGGGGTGAACTCCCAGAGCTGGGTAGGGGACCATGAGGGGATGGGTGAGGACACCGTGGTGGTCACTAGTCCCAGCTTGGGCAGGGCTGGTGCATGGGCAGCCATGGTGATGGCAGCAGTGTGGCCAGCCCGGAGGAGATCTTCAAACAGCCTGTCTGTGGGCACACGGCTCTTCTCACAGCGGGATGGGGACAGGGCTGAGAAGCCAGTTCTGTGGGCAGGTGGCAGTTCTCAGCCTCACTCAAACCCTCCTGAGACCAGTGAGAACGTTACTGAGATTATCACAATTTCCAGTCCCACGTCCTCCTCTGGTGTTTGTACGGGATCCATGAACCTTTAGGGAGCGAGAGCCACCCATCCCCTGGGAGTCACAGTTACACAGGTGTCTCCAAAAGCAGAATTTACCATCACGCATCTCAGGTTTCTCCTCACCCCCCGTTCTGTCTGTACCATGTAATTAAACAGATCAGGTTTTTCTTTCAGACTTGACGTGCAGGTCTCCATCAGCTCTTCCTGGGCATTGAGCAAGAGCGCTGGCCTCAGCCTGTGAGGAGCATGTGCCTGGCGCTGGAGGCTCGAGGGCTCACCTGGACTCTCACATTTATTAGTGAAATTGTTTGTATTGGCGGATGTCGGAGACACTCGGGGATTAGGTTACATCACACTGATTACCCAGCCCTTTCATTCTTTCGATTTTTCCTCTTTCTTGGTCAGGGTTTATATATGGGCTGTTTCTTGCTTCTCTCCAGGAGATCAGTGCAGACCTTGGACAACCTTCTTGCTGGAGAAGAATCAGGTAAGGTGACAGCAGGGCGTCCCTGTCGTGGTGAGATGCAGCAGCTCATGTCACTTTCCTCCAGTGCAAGCGAGAAGTGTGAGGCCAAGCTGGAGCAAACTGGTGGAGCCATGTCCGTAGCCCATGGAGAGGCTTGTCACACCTCATGCCACCACAACAGCCACCAGCTGCTCCTGGGGCCAGGGCTCAGGGTGGCCCAACACTCAGCAAGCCACGTGCTCCTTGAGGCTCCTCCAGCCCATTCTCTGCAGCAGGTTTTAGGCATCACGAGCTGCCCCGGTGCTTGTGGGTGAGGAAGGCTCAGTGCTCCCCTTGGGTACCGCCCACGGTCCTGATGGGGCTGCTCTGGGTTGTTCACAGACATCTGAATTTTGGGGAATGACTCTTGTATTTGGGCTGTGCTTGGGCTGGTGGGGCTCTGCCAGACACACGGAGCTCTGCTGGCTTTCCTCTAGCACGAGTGCAGCCTTTAGCCCCTGACATGCAGTTGGGGAACCACCTTCAGCTTGTTGTCTCCTTCTGTCCATCGAAGCCCAGACAGTCCTGAAAGCTTCTGCTGCCTCTGGAGCTCTGGGAGCAGCTATACTGGATTGTAAGATGTCAAAGGTTTGGTGCATTTTCTTCCTTGGTGGCTGGCTGGTGTGGTTGGGAGGAGCTGCTGACCCAGGAGCCATCATCAGGATTGATCTTGGAACGATTGACCATGGTAAGTGCTCAGACACGTTAGTGTGGGATGGCAGAGGTGGTGGGTCATCCCAATGTACAGCATGTGAAGTGTCCTGGTGGTGCCTGTGTGTGGGATGGGAATGTGTTCATAACCATGTGCTATAGGGTACGATGGGGAGTGCAGAGTCCCTGCAGCCTCCAACACCGGCTCTTCCCTGGGGATTTTGTGCTCAACTCCTGGTCTTGTGCAAATCTTCCAGCGATCTCCACTGCTCTGAACGAGAGTGATGTTCTGCAGAAAATGGCAGAGGAAGCCACAAAAAAAAAGCCCAACGCCAAACCCATCAAAGGCATCTCGGGGTGAGTGATGCTCAGCAGCCTGACACCATGAGCCCAAACCTGGGAAAGGAAATAAAAGCAGAAGGTTGGGAAGTGTCAGCCTGGAGGCAGAAACCGATCACTCCCCGCTAACAAGTGTGATATTAAAGCTGGTGATTTTCTGCATGGTTGTGTCGACAAATACACGGAGAAACTATAACTTAAAGGCAACAAAGCGCGTCGGCTCCCGCTTCAGAGCAGACTGGGGATGGCTGCGGTGGCTCCGCGTGGGGTTCACTCCAGACCTGGGGGGACCCTGCTTTTGTCAGTGATATCCTGGGGAAACCCCAGAACTTCTGGGGGATCGGAGCTGGCCCTCCATCCTGCAAAGTCATTCTGGGTGAAAGCATGGAGATGTTTTGAATGCTGAACCAGATTTCTTTTGTCAATATTAAACTGCACAAGCTTTTTGTTAGGAAGAAACATGTTCCTAAGTTTAAAAGTGGTTTTAGATGGAAAGTTTAAACAAAAAGTGGAAGAATAACGATGGTGATGGCATTATCAGGAATAGGTGACTTTGACATAAGAAGCCAGACCTGGCTGCTCTGCAGGCTCCTCTTTCCCAGCAATTTTCCTGTTTGTTTTTTTTTCTGCAGCCTAAAAGTGAAAGATCTCCGTCCCCCGGTGATATCACTGGCGCTCCGGCCGGGCTCGGGGCTCTTCATGGCTGTGTTGATACAAATGACCATCGCTGGGAAAAGGTGAGTGGGAGCCGGTGCTGGGGCTGGGGGGGGCTTGCTCCCACCCCGGGGTCAGCCCTGCACTGATCCAGCTCTGCTCCCACCCTGGGGGCAGCCCTGCACTGACCCAGCTCTTCTCCC